CTCTACTTTATACTATCTAGTTTTCCGTTTCTTTTTTTTGGTTGGATGGAAGCAATTTCTGGTTTCAACCAATCTCATTCCCTCATTCAAATAAATTCTTGAAATTGAGCAGAAAATTTGACAACCAAATTCCTCTCAACAAAAGAAGAATATTCGTAAAAAATATGAAAAAAAACGCATTTCAATGGCAACTTAACTTTCATTATCGCTAAACAAAAATTTGCTCAAGAGAAATTCAATGAAATTCCATTAACTGATGAAATATTCTCAAATCGAAAATCCGGATAAAAGGAGCAGTTTATGCAAAGAAAATCGCTCCGATAAGATTGTATTCTGTCATTGAATAAAGAATCAAATAAAATTATCGCACCAATGAATAAATGTATCAGACAAAGTCAGTGATGAAACGAGTTTGTCTCATTGTCAGATGATTGGTGTGCAATAACAAAATTGATTGATCAATTGGTGTATCATCAAGATAATTAATAATCTTGATGATACCAAATAAAACTGAGACGTGATCATAGAATCAACTCGAAATTATTAAGGGGACTTTCCATGAATGATGTAATAAAAACAAGTTAGCAAAATTGAAATGTGTCATCAAATAATTTCAGACTGAAAAAAATTGATAAACTGGAATGAAATGAAAATGAAAGAATTGGATGTAAGATGGCTGATAGCCGGTATTACGCAGTTACTAGAACTGACCAAACTGCAAAATGATTTCACTGGCGAAGACACAAATACTGAATCATAAATTTCGGGATTTTTGTTGAATGTTCGATACACCGGTCCATGAGTCACTAATGGATTACTTCAAAATTTTACTTGTGGAGTTTGAATATGAGAGCGGTTTTGAGATGGAGCGATTTTAAAAGGGAAACGTCTCTTGATTTGAGGCAAGAACCATTCAAAAAGTAAACATTTACAAATGCGAAATTTCAACAATTTTAAGTACCATATTCGAAGAAGTGCCATTTTTCGCCGAATTTCTCAAAACGATTAGAAATAGCAGAAAGGGCAAACATTTTAAAATGGAGGCTATACACGGTTTATATATGTACACAGATGAGAATTTGTCATTGAATACTCCGATAGAGAATCGTAAAGAATATGTAAAAACTAGAAGATATCACGAGGAGACGGCGAGTATTCGATAACCGACCGTGGGGAATTCCCAAGAAATCGCACAAAAATAGTCGATGAAAATAAAGTTTTATCCCTATCAACTCAACGTAATAACAACGAATCACAAATTAAAAAGCGTAAACAAGCAAACGACAAACAATGAACAAAAGAAAATTAAATCTAAAACGACGCTACCGATCACAACGAGAATTACAACTCAACCTACAAATGTTTTCCAGAAGCTTTATTNAAAAACATCGCAATCTCCAGCTAAAATAAATGGCACCTATTGAAAATCATACTCGACAATTACGATATAATCTTCAAAAATTCAGTGAATAATCACTTGAACTCATATCACTGATCCGTATCAATAAGTTTAAGACAAAATAAATACCACTCGTAGACGGAAATAATGAAGTAATCAATCGCCTGATAAGTACTAAACAATTAGATGGATGAATCAACAAAAATAATTCATTTAGCAATAAAATGCTGATGAATACTGCTCAAGATACTTACATTCACAAATGCTGCAGATGGTTGGTTTGCGAGAAGAGAAGAGACATCGAGAAAGATACAAATAAACCAATCATATAACATTTTATAAGCAGTACAACACTGAATTAGTCATCATTGTGCTATGACGTGTCACGTTTTTTGGTTTCGATTCAATAACGTTAAAACAAAATTGATGCGCAATTTGACACCGAATTTCGACGCTAATTTGACTCGCAATGACAACTAGTGAGCAGTGGCCATTTATAAGCATTCATTCAGCTGTTCTTGAAAACAAATATATTTATTGCGAATTTAGCAACTGAAGATATCACAAAGTAACACGTACGTGCGGTGAATATCCTTGATAGATCTGGTAATCGGTCAAAAATTGACAAAAAAAGTGCTCTTGAAAGCCAATTGCAGAATACGAACCAATTAATACGAAACGATAATATGGTAAGACGTAACAAAATTCGACTTGAGCATTCAATAAAAACAATTTCGATCAATTGCGACGAGAATGTGCTTGAGCATTCAAAAGCGATTGTATTGCGTGCTATTCGGACATTATCACATTTCCTTATCTAACGTTATCAAATTAAACGTTCAATTATAGCGTTTAATTGTCACACGATTGTGACGCAAATATACAAGTCATTGATGGACCGTGAGCACGAATGAAACCAATCGATGCAAAGGAAATCGTTGACGCATTTTATCGTATTCGATTGATAACGAACAGCAAACAATCGCACTCGGAATTCATCGGCAAAATGAGTTTTTGATAGCCCACTTCATATACAATTTGCACCTTGCTATAGCTTGTTTTCCGCTAATGAATAACAAAAATCACTGTTTGAATTTTCAAACACAGCTGAAAAGCACTGTGAAAAATGCGTGTCGCTTGCAAATATTCTCAAGCAATACAATCTCGAATGAAAACGGTAACTCGTAACCTAAAAACAATGCACCTAATATCAAGATTTTTGAGATTCAGATTTATTTTCTTGCTGCATTCCAAGACTGACATCGAACTGTCGACCTTTTTGCCTGGTTGGAGTACCTTCTAAATACTTGCTTGGTTCAGGTGAATAGATTTTATGTCCCATTAAATCGATCGCATAATCATACACCACCGGATTATCGAGTGCTTCTTTCAGCTTTTCGTCCAGATTCTCGGCTGTCACGAAGTTTTTGCTCTTCATCACCTGAGTTTTTGGATGAAAATTTAAGAATATGACAATAACATCCATAATAAAGTGAATTTACATGAAGGAAATGAAGTCATGATGAATATTGTCATAACAACATCCCAAATTTACGCATTTATCACCCACAATTCTTTCTAGCGATGGATGGATGCATCGATGGAATGAAATAACTTAAAACGAAACGAACGAACCATTTCAAGAACTTCTGCGGTGCGTTTTTGTACGTTTTCTTCCCGTTTCAACAATTCTGCCTCAATTTCTTTCAGAATCGACTCCTCGGTAATCTTCATTTCTTGTTCCTCTCTCTCGTGACGTAATCTGAACATATCAGTTGAACTTATCGTTCTAACACACATCCTTTCACACAATACATCGACTCTACTTTCGGACTGATTTGTTATTCACATTCGCTGCTACACAAATTCAGTAAGAAATATAAATTTCGACTACTTGAAATGGTCACGAACAATTGCAATGGAGCATGGAACGCAGTCGTTTGTATCAAATCATATCAAATCGATTAGTGATTTGAAAACAATCGAATCACAAATCGATCTGATACAAAAGATTATGTTTCATGACAAGAAAACACAGAAAAAAATTTCTTTCTCATATCCAATAGCAAAAGTTTAAATCTGATTCAAATATTTGTACTGCGTATAAAAACTGAATGCGTTGAAAGGCTCAGACTATTCTCAGCATTGATAATAGGTAAAACAAATA